CTACGCTCTGGAAACTTCGATCCAGGCCGAGCAGCGAGCGACGAGCGACGAGCGACGCTGCGGGGGGCCGAGAGATGCACAGCGCAATAGCAGAATGCGCTTCAATGGGGGCGCATCATCCACTCGACTCGGCCGGTGCTGACCCGGCCCCACGTCAGCCGGAAGAAAAGAGGCGGGGGACAAGAGTAAATGCCACCTCACGCTCTTCATTTCTGGTGAGCCCCCGACACGTCAGCGCGCGCCTTCTTTATGCGCTGGAGCGGAAAAGAAGGGGACAAGCGCGAGCGCCAACTCATCCGCTTCGCTCCGCGTGACCGCACCCCACGTCAACCCCACTAGTCTCCTCCGACATTTCATGACTCTGTAGTCGTAAATAGTCCTCGTCTTAGCGAGCCAGCGGCACGATAATCAAAATGTTGAATTATTATAAATTGCCGAGAAAAAAAAGATGCTCCGCGGTACACCGGGGCCCGGGCCCGGGCCGGACCGGGCCGGTGTACAGATTTTCCCCGCGGGCCCTTCCTTTCCCTCGCCTCGGAGATGGTGGTGGTGCTAGAGGACGTACGACCATCATCTTCTCCTCCCTATTGCGACGACAATGGGAGCGTCCGCTTTTGCGACGGGCCATGCATTGCCTTCGAAGATTTGATCGTATTGATTTCGCTTTCTCCGATTTCGGAAATGCCCATCGGCCATGGCGCTTCGATTAGTTTCCTTTCGAGGCAGGTGGGCTTCTTTTCGGGGCTTACGGAAGCGGTGAGGCGAACGCGAACGAAAGAAGGAAGGTCCGAGTTTAGGGCACGGAGATCCATAGCCTGGTTCACTATAGCGAAGCAATAATAAAAGAGATGCGTCGGACGGTACACGCTCGTAATTATGCGATTCTACTCCGGATTAGTGTGTACACTCACTTTCACTGTTGCGAGATGATAACACTTTTGTAACCAAAAGGGGTCCACTTTTTGTAAGAAAATCTTCGGACATTGGAGATTCCGGGGCACAAAGATCGAAATTTATGATAGCTTGCAGGGTTTGCGCAGATGCTCTCTTACATAAAGGTTTCCCATGTGTTAGTAGTGACTCACTTTCCTTTGTTTATTTCAAGAGATTGGTTTTAACAATTCGCGAGCAACGATAACGGTGACATCACGTTTACATGGTCATCCACCTTGTCCATATGTGCACATTGTACCGCCCGCCTTCAAGCCGAACCCCCACTTTCAAACATGCTCGAGACTTCGCTTTGTATTTCCTCGCCTTCGATTTTGTGGATATGATGCCGGGCCGAGCAACTCTTCGCTCCTGCTTTCATACCGTGTTGCATTTACGATTCCATTTCGACGTTTCCCCATTTCTCTTTTCTCTTTTCCCGCAGTTACTGGCCGGAAACTCAACACCTCCAGACAAAGGCTGATGATTGACGCGCAAGGTATGTTTTACTGGCTCGACGTCCATCCGGCCCTGCTCTCGGGTGGTGCGAGCGATCACATCTTCGTCGTCAAGACGATGGGCTTATCAAAAGCTTGTCTATTATAAACCTCGAGAGGACTGGGATTTTGCGTTGCGAACCCTTTGGTAGTTTAAGTCGGCTCCCGTGTTTTTTCCCAGGGTCTCAGATATATACTTAATTAACATGGTTGCACCAGAACACCTTAAGACAAGAGTCATGATTGACACCTAAAGTGATATGCTTGAAGTTTTCTGCACCACTGAAGGATACCCCGGGCTTGGAAGCACGAAGATTTCAATTTAATCTTGGCCATGAACGAGCGATGGCTGATACAGATGCTCTGCAACTCCTGTTCCATGGACAGATGCTGCAGGAACTACGGCACAAAATCTACACAATTTCCATGATTGATAGCCTTGTCGAGCAGAGAAATCTTTTAAAACTCCCTCATATCGGAAGCATACATGAGGTCAAGGCTAAGCTTGCAGCCGGAACTAGGCCTGCCGATGGAAAATGATGACTCCCGACTTTAGAGATGGCCAAAAGGTGCTCAGGCCATGGCTCTGGCTCGGACAGAAACGAGGAGAGAAGGTGCGAGCGGAATCACATTTTCCCTCCTCGACTTGGATACGGGAATGTTTTCCGCGCTCGGCCAAAGAACACGTCTTAGAAACCGAGCACATTCTCAACAATGTGTCCGAGCTCCTCCCTCCTCCTCCATGGAATCGCTCTGATCACATTGTGTTGTTTCGCAACCCCTGGTTGGCTCTGTGCTCGTGCGAGGACGAACGAGACGTTTAGGTGGGCATGCGAAGCGATGCGCAGTCGACCACGGGAGAAACGTTTTAATTGTTGCACACATGTGGGTCGACCTAACGAAGTCCAAGTCCTGTCAGATGAATTACCACGATACTGTTGCAACCTACTCAAGGGCAACATTCTTTGCCCTAAACCCAGTGCAGGCAGATTTGTCGAGGATAATGTTGTTTATGCCCGGATTAGCGGTACCCGGGCCGAGCTCTAACTACTCACCTCTGCTCTTTCGCGCCGTAGTTGGTAGATAGTTGCGAGTGTCCATGACAATTGTCTTAGACTAGTCCTGATCATGATGAGCGCCTCCGATGATTTATGCATTCCAGCTTGCACACAAGTAACCGCCCTGCTTCTCGAAGGATATTTCGAGCTTATATCGAGCCTACGAGGACTGCAGCAACTCTCTCTACTCCAAGCAGGGGCTGGATCTTCGTCATGCCCGTCCTGTTCGAAATTCTTGTCTGGGCCGTCTGTGCATAGAGAGGTGGGAGCTGGAGCTGCTCTCATCCCCATTCGCAATAAAAAAATCCGGGGGATTTTATGCAGTGGACCGATGCAAGTGGTCCCATTCAAGAATGATAGATGGGAGAGTCTTGGGACCCCAAAAGTACAAATCTGTATGATCTGATGAGACAGATCAGAGGAACAAAGAGGCCTGCACCAGGACTAGAATTCCTGGCTACAGGAGATATGACTCTAATGCTCTTATCTTACTTTTGTTCTTCGTAAGACTACGCCAAGATCTCCTTGAGGTTGCATTCACAATATCGTGAGGTAAAAGTAAATCCGATCTTCCATAGGCTGATGAGTCAGTAGGACAACGAAAATGATGCATCGATCAGTTGTATTGTCCACCTGAACGCTTTTTCGTTCCATTTGCTCAGTTAATGTACGATACAAGGAAGCGCCAAGTACCCTTCAATTATTTTAAAGGCTGGTTTTCGGACAAACATTCACGAGCAGATTTTTCTGTGTAAGTCAAAGGTTGAAACTTTCAGATCACACTTTCACGGTATTAAAATATCATAGTCTGAAGATCCCAAGAGATTTGGCTGAAACTTTCTAAATGATATGATTCTAGCCAAGTTCATAAAAAACATGTATTTTACTATATTTTTTTCGCTCAAATCACATCCTGATTTTATAATTATAAATTCAGATAATGTATAACTTGTGTATGTGTATTATCGCATGAAAATCGGTTGGACATCATATTGTGATTTCAATTCTTAATTGTACATGCATATTTTATAATCCTCCACCATATTATCATGATTAGGTTTAAATCATTTACGTAAGTCAGAATCTGAATTACACAGTATGCTACAAGGAAGTTATTTTCTAGTGATAATTTTGTAAAAATAATAGTCACAAGCATACAAGTTGACATTTCATGATATAAAATCCTCAGTGCATAATATAATATTAAATTGGTTCGAGGGCATGCCTTGCCGGGTTTAGACAAGTCAGTCCCCTGCAGAATCCAGAGCAGGCCATCAAGGGACGTGTAGGAGATTTGACGATTCACACCCAGAACGCAGGGTGACCAAATCACAGGACCGGATGAGCAAGAGGGGGGAATCTTGAGGGGCCTCGATGTGTAGATAGATATGGATCCAGAACGTACGAACCAACGAGTGAATCAGTGAGAGGGAGGGAGAGAGAGAGAGAGATGGGAGAACGACGAGGGAGCCTGAGGTGTCATATTCTATCTCCAAAGTCCTGTCGACGTCGGATTTCTTTACTCATTCCTTCGTCCTGTATTTCTCCGACTCCAAGGATCGTGACGGCAACGGGCGACATGATGCTGTGCAGAGTTGCGGCAGTTGCTGAGCACGACGTGTCGACCTCGCTCGCTTGCTCACTCGCAGACTGTTGGGACGAAGAGGAATAGTCCCACTCGATGAGGTTCAGCTTTTCCCCTCCGGCCAGCTCCAGACTAGAAAAGCTGCAGTCATTGGCCTGATCCATGATTCAAAAGCACCAAGAGAGCAGGTGCACGCAGACGAACTAGCACCTATTCCATCATATCCCTCTTTCCTCCCATGTTACCTCTGCTTCTCGCGTGGCACTCGCTTCGCAGCCTCTGTCATTGTATCTGGTCAGGCTCAAGTCGTACACGTGAAGCTACTCCGATTCTTCGTGACATCCGATCCTCGCTACGCACTGTCCTGGAATGCGACTGGGCTCCCATCTGTAGGCCCCTCCCTCATTACTGCTGTGCGCTAGACAATCTCTCGAGTCAGGTTCCGCCACATCCCTACCTCGGTTCCGCAGTGATGGGGAAGGTTGCGCCGTTGACATTCATACAAACGTCGCATGTGGACGTCGCTGTGAGAGATCCGTTAGTTGATCCATGGCTCTATGGACGGGCTCTCGGAGAGTGTTGTAGGGACATACACTGCCAGTTACTGCAGCTGGTTACTTCTTTCCAGCAGGCCATGCGGTTATTTGAATCCTGTTTACGAGAGTTGTTCACCTTCCAGACGGTGGTTGTTGTTTTATGTATCGACCGTAATGCGCAAGCGCTCCCTACGAACACGAACTATCGACAGCTGGAGACGCTAGAGCACGAAAAAGTCTGCCAAAACTTGGTTTCGACAACCTGATGTGACGTTTGAGTTTCGTGAATTTGAGCCAGACGCAGAGGAATTTTGTAGGGCGCACGGGTAAGGGGCCCGTAGGAGACAAACATTTGACCGCACCCTACAGCTGCGGTCCAATCACTCCGAGGGATGGCACCATTGTTGACTTGATATTGAGATATCGACTGATGTGTTGACAATGTTCGATTCCAAACCAATAAAATAAGGTATCTAGTTTATTACAAACTGACAATACTGTAGCCACAACTACTTCCTCTTGTGCACAGGAACAGGAGACATGAGGTGATAATCCCTTTGGAGACATTACGTGTCCCAAACAAGGCTAAAATAATGACCCGCCATGTCATGTGTCAAGCAACGCTGTTGGACTCATTTACCGATTTCTGTCGGGGTCTTTGTGACAAGCGAGAGAGCGTGCACTCCGTTCTTGATTTCTTCGTCCAGTAATTCGTATACAAGTCGGTGACGTTTGATAAGACTCGTTCCTGCAAACTTGTCTGACACAACCTTCACACTGCGCCGACGGTTCGAGCATGTCAGTACCTGGAACCATAATATTCTCGTCAAGTAAATGGGTTGAATATTACAGGATGGTCGGCATGGAGTTCAAATTCTTCCTTCCAAGAAATGAGGACGCTGAGCCGTCTGACACAACGGCGGATATCCCCTTCTATATAAAATCTCCAGTCTATCCAGAATCTGAACTGTATGGTCTGAACGTCGCATCATAACATAGGCTGAAGGTAATTACTAGCATACTGAGTCCCTTCAAGCGAGGAAATAATAACCAGGCCAAGATATGGACCAGTTACTGTGAGTTCCAGTTGACCAGGCCGGGGTAACTGAACTCCAAGGGTGCACTGTACACAGGTCTACTGTTATTTAGACCAACCTATCTGGACTGGTATAACTGGTGAAGTCTTGCTCGAAATCATGACCTAGGACATAAAGACGCTGTCGATACTTCGACAGAGGGGTAATAAAAATCCACAATAAGAATATCGTTCAAATAAGCTTAAAAGCAAAGGCCTTTGCTCACTCCCTCCAATTGCTCTGTTCAGCGCAACTTCTCACAGCTGCGGGTCATCTCAACAACATACGTAATAACCGAGACGGTTAAGGTAAAACGACTAATGAGGCTCTTGGACTGTCTGGATTTGTTTGAACCATAAGTGCCCGTCCTTAAACACCGCACGGGATAGGAACCAAACAGGAAAGATTAAGTGGACTTCGACAAAATAATACTGGTTGAAGAAAGACATGCTATATCAAAGATTTTCATGCCAATTTCTACTCCAGTGTACTTCTACTCTGGCTTGTTTCCAAAATGCATGGGTTTCACGTTTCAAACACTGCGATCTAAGGAAAAGTTCATACAGTAAAGACAAAACTAGGGTGACGTTTTTATTATGTCGTGAGAGCAATGAAACATAACTTCACTACTTGGAAATAACAATATCGAAGGGTAGATAATTTTCTGTCCAGGACTTTTAGACTCGTACCAGGATGTCAATAGGCTTTACAAACCTGCACATTATTTGCTATACTACTTTTGCACCCTCAGGACATGATTGATCAATGATACAATTATTCGATTTTGGTGATGATCTACGCGTGCTCGTATGTAGTGCTCTTAATAAACTCTTTCCTCGATTTTCCCTCGTTTGCTTGCTAATGAGTTTATGAGTCGATGAGATAAACACATAGGTCTCGTATGAAAGATATCCTTTGTGCAGAACGAGAGATTTCGCTTTTGGCTTTTGTGGACATATGAGTCGTTTTGCACAAAAGCATCACATCACCTCAGAGTTGGAAACGTATCAAGTCCATAAATATGATAGGAATACTCCTCAAAAATGATAACAACAGCTTGGACGAAATCAGATTACTTACTTGAAGTGAGTTTCTGTTGCACCTTTGTGCACCCCAGCATGACCAGCATGCTGATGAGAGACATCATCCACCTCCAGTAGCGTTGGTGCTAATGCTTCTTGTAGCTGCATCATGAGAAAACAGTTCACAAGACATTGTAAGCTCAGTTGACGCTCAACAAGAATTAAAAAAATACTCACATCCACTTTAAAATCACAACCACTTCAGATAGGTGGTTACAAACTCTGATATGCTATATCTACCTTTCACTTGCTTGGTCCTAGTACTTCAAGAGTGGATATCGGGTGGTTTATACCGGAAACGTTAAAGGATACACACTCAAAAACGCCAAATTATGCGAGCAAGCTCAAAGCTTTGTTTTATCGGAAAACAACATCCGGTAGCTGGATTGTGAATCACTAGGAAAAAGGCAAACCTGGCCTTCGAAACCTAGGTTTGAACGATCGTGAAACCCATCGGGCATTATTAAATATACAATATTAAAACCTCAGAAAGTACGTGTCAATCCAAAGACTGGCAGAAAGAAAACAGATTCAGATACCTTCACGAGCATTACAGTTTCTGGGGCAGCAAAAACCCTCTAATATACACTTCATTGCGTTCATTCTCCATGCTTTAGAAATGCACTTGAAACTAAAGAGGCAAAATCTAGAGCAGTCACATTTGGAAGATGGTTTGTAAATTGTAAGGACAAAAGGGATCCAAGGAAAGTCAAGATCACAAACTCAGGTACATCTGGAAAGCAACTGCACGGGTGAAGATGAAGCTAGACGTTTGAAAAAATTCACAAGGTTGGCGTGTTCGCGTAAACCTGATGCACTGTGACTCTAGTTTCACATAAAAACTGCTGATACTGGAATAGTTCCAAGCCATATAGAAAGAAACCGAACCGGCTGAAATATCCCTTCAATAAATGTAGATCTCTTGCAATGCATGAACGTCGTTTTTCCAAGGACAATGATTACGAGGATGGATGCAAATATATAGAAAAAAGTACGCTGCAGATATGTCATGGAATAGCAGTAAACGTGGACAACCCAAAACCTTGAAATTACAATGCTCACATATCATGAAGCTTTTGACCTAAGTAAGCGAACTGCTGCTCAGATATATGAGTGATGAAAACTAGGACGAGGATCGATGGCTTATGTACGCTGATTGTCTGGATGACGAATTTTACAAAAAACGCAGAAAGAGAGATTTACAAGCAACGATCAATAAAGTCTTCGTAAATCGAATTCCTTCCACTCATACTTATACAAGTCAAAAGCTAAGTAGTCACTCGCTTGTGAAAACTTTTCAATTCTTAAACGAATCAACTCACAAAATGAGAATGTAAAAAAAAAAAAATGCGCGATTGCACTGACCTTCTTTTGAATGCTATCCTTCTTCGACACTTGTTCTGGAGCAGCAGAGGAGCTGAAACTTCTACCGGAATCCATCTGCTTAGCCACTTGTGTGTTCGTGTTCACCGCGGCGCTCGCTTGACTACTAACCTGCCTGACACTGTTTCCACTACCAGCTTTCGCAGCTTCTGCTTCCATGTACATATTCAGAGATTTTTTTTGCATCAGCTTGAGCATATTCAAAAATCCATTGCTTCTAGATGGAGTCAAACTCTGCTTCAAGCCGAGCATCTGAATGAAATCAGGTGTTACTTTCAAAATCTCCGAGACAGTGGCACCCGACAGACCCTCAACGAGCAAGGCAGCTAAACCCTTGGTGAGCAGAGAGTCAGAATCTGCCTCAAAATATACGCGATTATCCTCAGTCAAAGTCGGCTTCACCCACACCTGCGACACGCATCCCACTACCTTGTTCTCGCTTGTGCAGAACTCTTTGGCCAGAGGCTTCAACTGCTTCGCATAATACAGCAACTGCTCGTACTTCTGCTTCGAATCCGGCACCGCCTCGAACAATTTCACAATCTCCTGCAACTTGGCAGGAAGCTGCTGTTGCTGCTGCTCCTGCTCCTGCTGCACGCACACCACTGCCGCTCCTCGTCCTGCTTTCAAACGTACAGCCCGGCCTCCGATCCTGCAATTCCACGGACGGGCAAATTCGCCAGCCAGAGGCGCGACGAGAAGACGAGCGGACGATCTCGAGCTCGCGGATGGCAAACCCAAAAACCTCGAGTGCGAGCAGGAAGGCGAGTCACTGCGAATCGCTGCGATTGACGACGATGACGGAGCGGACGAGCAGAGGATGCTGCTGCAGCAAAGCGGAGATAGAGCTGCCATGGCTCGGCTTCGCTTAATGCTCCCCTTCCCCTCTTCCTGCTCCTCCTGCTCCTCCTTCCCTTCCCTTCCCTTCCCTTGGTTAACCCCCTGCCTGCCCCCACCGAATTTCCTCTGCCTCTCTTGGGCCCTGCCTTACCCTTCATTTGCCTCCCCTCACGTTCTTCCACTAAAGACATGCTTTCGGATTTCCTTCCAAATCCTCTGACGCCAAGCCCTCGTTTCATAGTTTAGTTTGTCGTACACGGTCATGAAGTCTGAGAAACACCAGTTCGTACCCACGGTTCTATCACGTTGATGTTCCAATCGTCCTATTCTTCTATCTCTTCTAGATGATTTGTTGTCATTCGTTCATATTTGTGATGGTGATAATACTTGAGTCTACTTTCACTGTAAGACTCGATGGGGTTGTATTTTTTCAATGTGATATTATGTCTTTTTAAGGTTTTGAAGGAATCTCCACACAAAAATCAAAAGAAAAATATTTTGCCATTTTTCCTCTCTAGAGTATTTTCTACATATTTGAAGGTGATTTTTGTCGGAAACTTACTCATACCATAGTTCGATGTATAGAGAATACTATGCGGAACCCTACTTAACTCTCGGAGAAGACAGGCTCGAGGAATATTAGTTTTCATCAACATGGTTCTAAAATTCTTTTGTCCAATGTCCAATTGCTATCAACCAAAGACTGACTATTGAAAACTTCACTAGTTATGTTGTCTTGTCATCAAAAAAATAATCCATTTTACTCTCCATAATAATACTCCACTCAATCATATTGACAAAGAGTGAAATTCTTAAGAACAAGATTTTTCATAACATATGATACTCTTTCAACATATTGATCTTGAATCTCATCATATTCCGTATCAATATTGTATTCAAGAATAAATTATCCAATCTATATTGCATAACTTAAGCAAGTTATACTAATACTATATGATGACTTCTTGAGGAAAAATGTGATTGATAAAGATCAATCACATTCATCTTATTGATCTTCATCCTTTGTTGTAGTCTCATGAGTATCGCAATCAATAATTTCATCCTCCCATTCTTATTACTTCTAAAGTTGCTTTTTTCTAAATTATGTATCAAAGATTTTCTTTTGTCACATCATTAATTTCATAAAAAAAATAATATATTTTGCAATAGCATACACAAAAGAAGATTTCTACTTATCGATGTGAAGAGATATTTCAACTTTTTAAATGATTTGAGTTCATACAAATAAATATCTCTTTTAACAATAATTTCACAAACTATAAAATCTCATATCTTATAACTTTTCACATCATTAGTGTATTTATGCAGATTACTTTTTTGGGATTCAAAATCAAACTTATGTCTAATATAATTAATTGTGAGGAGTTTAACATTACTTTTAAATATTTTTTAACACCGTAATTAGTATTTTTTATCATTTTATTCAAACAATGTCAATAATTCAGTAACATTATAACAAAAAAATATGACACATCATTTTTACTGTATATATAATAATATATCACATACTACAATGAGACAATTTTAGTCTAAGCAATGTAAAGTAATTTAAATTCGTTCAACATATCATCCGTAAATGTAATATACAAGAAACACAGTGACAAAACACTCAATCTACTGCTACATCCACTGGGAAACTCACGCGTGAAAGGTATACTGAAAGTGTTTAGGTAATACACATACCCTGGTATACATGTTGGTGTCTTTATAAAAACGCCAACATTGGCTACAATACTAGCTATTTTTAGCTAGGATTTGAGTTTACTCCTTAACTCAAATTAACCTTAACAATCTCCCCCTTAACTCGTGTTAAGAAAACAATAATCTCTGTAAACTATATTATTACTTTTAGGAAGTTCTAAACAAAAACCTAACACAAGGTCACCCTTTACACGAGAGTTAATTAGAATTAAGCCATAGTCATAACATGATAGATTAATAACATAAAGAGTTAATTACAAACCAGCTAGCATAGACAAAATAGAAACCTTGTAACCTATATAATTACTCCGCGGTAAATTCTAGAAAGAAATCTAATACAAGTCAGGTCTTTATACAAAAGTTGACTAAAATTAGATCGTAATCATCCAAGGATAAAGTAATTATAAGAAGAGATAATAGAAAATACCATGCTGCCAAAATCTACATATGCTATCTATGAACAACATGCATAGTAGCACTAAGTCGCTTGAAACTCCCCAAAGAAATAACTTTAATCAACGTATTAGCTGGATTGAATTTACAACCAATCTTGATTAGCTCAATGATTAGACTTTATCGTCAATCTTAACTAACTCAATCACAGGACTTTACAGTCAATCTTAACTAACTCAATCACAATAGTTTACTTTCAATCTTGACTAGATCAATCACAATAGTTAACCGTCAATCTTGACTAGCTCAATCACAAGATTTTACACTCAATCCTAACTAGCTCAATCACTGAAGTTTACCGTCAATCTTGACTAGTTCAATTATGTGCTCAAAAATTTCACTAGTACTAGTATTTTTTCTTGATCATTTTTCACATAATGATCAAACTCTTCACAACCACATCCGTGAGCAGAGATTTTTCCTTGTTAGTGTGAAAATCTTGAGGACTCTCTCCCTATTTCAATGATTTAGGTTCAATAAAAAACACATGTCAAAGCAAGTAATCTTGACTTTCAAACTTGTCGCGTTGTCATCTTCACTCGTCAAAAATTAGAGATTATAGCAGCTTCCGCATCAATTTTTCAATCTAACTCATCTGTCAACTCTGAAAATGGTAAAGATGCACTAATTGCATCAAATGGTTTCTAACGATATCCAATTTGACTATATTTTGATGAAGATTTTTTGGACAAAATATTTATAAACAGAATATTTTATTGGACAAACACATGCATGGTTTTAATAATCACTTGCCTAAATTACCTAAATATGATTAATTTGATTTACTCACAAAAATTAATTTAGGCTTATCAAAAACGTTAATTTAGATTAATTTAGTCTTTTAAAAAAGTTAATTTAGTCTAATTTAGTTTGATTTACTATAAAAGTTAATTTATGTCATTTTATAAACTAAAAATTTAGTTAATTTAATTTACATCAATTTTAAATTTTTAAATCAAAAAATATGTAAATTCTGCATAGGTGTCAACTCCTCATTGGTTGCAACATGTACGCACCAAATCACACCCACCTAAATTTAGACACTGAATCAACAAAAATTTTAGGTAATTTAGGCGACCATATATACGGTCGCCTAATACAAACATGAATCGTTTTTATGTATGAAAACTTTCACAGGAAATCTTCTTGACGGCTTGATGGACTTGCCTACTTTATCAAGCATGTGTTGCCCGCACTTGCTACCGTGATCCGCAAATGATGTGTCTGTATGGTTCTTGCCGTTCGGTCTCTGTAGCTACCTCAAGCCGCCGCTCTAGCCAGCGCGCAGGGCTGCTCGACCTCTGTTGCAAGATGACATGCGAAAGCCGCAGCGGACTTTGTTGCAACCTGAACTGGGAAGAGCGTGGAGCGCTCCGACCTCTTGCTATACCGCTCGGAGGGATGCGGTTTGGCTCACGATTCTCTACCTGTCCCGTCGCTTCGGGAGGGGAAAAATTGATCGTCGGTCGTGCTGCCTTACCGTAGGGCGTACCTCAAGTGTAAACGACCGTCGCACGGTACGCGACGGTTGTCTGCATAGCGTGCAGATCTACATGCGATTGGGAGCAGCCACACTGGTGGTTCTGTGATCAGCTGGCTTCACTGTAGTATTTCTTTGACCTCAAAAGTTGTTCTTGTAAGGCACCTTCAAACATGCGCACTTTATGCAACGCGGCTAGTCCAACATCTAACTCAAGAGTTGTACCTAAGGTCACAACCGACTATATGTGAAAGATGTCGTGCCAGCGTTCCAGATCTGCATTAGTTGCATTGAGTTCTTTCTGTAAACCAACAATCGTACTTTCTCGTTCCTCCAAGCTTGTAAGTAGGTTTAGTATGATTGTAGTTGCATGATCATTTGCAACAATAGAACGGGCATACATATTCTTGGCGGAATATATTTTGTCATGATCGTCTTCAAGCTCTATGTAGCTCGTTTCCTACCTATAAGTGTACAGTACTCTCCATCATAGACTCCAAGATCAAAGTCATCATCATACATAACATCAGCCGTCGCCAAGTTCTTTCCCTAACTCCCTTCTCCTCTCAGTCTCAAATTATAAAACATGGGAGAGAAATCTCATGGGCTCATAGCACGGCTCATGGAGCACTGCGCTGATTGATGGAACAAAACAGAAAAGGTTAAACTTTGAGGCTTTTTCGTGGACTAGCTACTGCATGTCATTTTAATCGAACTTCAAATTTTGTCACCATTCAAACGACTAATGTGATTCTCAAAACTCCCAGATTGAAAATCTCCTCTTTGATAGATTGTTAGATCCCCGATTCATTTCATTGGTTTTTTCCGCATGAATACTCCTTAAACAAAGGAACGAGTACTCCTCTTGTCTAATTCCAAACTCTTGTGTCTAGTAAGAACAAGAAACATGCGCTACAAGCAAGAGTGTGTTGTACTATGATCAGACTAATAATCTCTTACAATCTCTCTCTTGACTATCAACTCCTCCACATAAGTTTTGTTTTGTGGAGTCTAAGTAGGACCGTCAAATACTCTAAGTAACTCCACATTTGAAAACATTGAAAATAAAAAACTCTCAACAAAAATACACTTTAAGAAAACAATGTCAATAAACCAATCAGGTTTGATATCACTCTCCTGTAGAAAAATTAGTCAGACAAAATTTTAAACTTCAAAACTCCACATGATTCTTCCTTCTGAACTACCATGAACCAATCATGTTTGAAACCAATCTCTTGCAAAAAAATCCAATCAGCTGTTCGATCGACTTACTTCAGAAATAAAAACTGTCAGAAACTTCAAAATTTATTACAAACTTTTGAATAACCATCAAAATTCCAAAAAATGTCTCTTTTCTCCTTAATTTGCCTCGAACTGCATCCGAACCTCAAAAAGCTTTCAATACTTTCACTTCAAGCCTGATATCCTA